GTTACTCTAAAAGTCTCGATAGAATTGAAACAGTATGACATTTTAGTCAAAAAATATCATTTGAAATAAAAATTTTATTCTTTCTCTAATAAAGAGGGGAAAAGAAAATATTAAAATTTCTTCATCCTTAAACGTCATTTTTTATAGCTTTTACTGGAAAAGATAGACGGTAATTCATTTATTCAAACCATATATGTCTCATATAAATGAAGTTCAACACATTTAACAACTGATTAGATGATTAAACGAGCATCGTGAACATACATAGCAGGTTGTAAATGTAAATATCATCTATTCCACTTAATCTGAGAGAAGTTCTTCACTTAAACTATTTATCTCTTTAGTTTTATGGGAATACAAATATGAATAATAAAAGGTATTATTTGTAAATCCTAAAAACTATTTAAGCGCATGCAGATAATTTCCATGTTGTTGTTGGTCGGAGAGAGCATTGAAGTGAATAAGCCATAGGATAACGGGAGCCGCGCAATTTTTTCTATTACGCCACATTTACCCGGAAAAATAATGCCCATGCACATTTCATCCAGCGTTATCTACTTTCGGGTTTACTGCCTATCCTTGTCTGTTAGCTTTTCGACCATTTTCTCATTCCTACTCTCGTTTCTATCTCCTAACTGAGAGGCAAAGCGAATAGTAGAGTCGAGGTATTTGCAACCCCTCGAAGCCCGGAACTCGACCATTCTATACTTTCGGGCTTGTCTGTTGGTACTACTGTATTCTCACTACTGTTCTTTCTCCCTTCGTGCTGACATCACTATCTGTATCGAAATGAAGCTACAAAACTGCCACATGTGAATATCCGACGTGCAGTTTATCTCGCGCTCTTTTCTACACATATACTAACACATTTATAATAAAACTAAATGATAAAAGTTAACAAAAAAACACACACACATTATTTCTCACTTTCCGGTTCTCAATTTTTAATCGATACGTATCTATATTTATTGATTATTAAGAAGAGCAATTAAAAGATCTGTGCTTGATCTAATTTCATTTATATTATTATTCGAAAAATTAATAAAACCATAGTACGGAAATAAGATAAATTCCATTTAGAATTATCAGATTAAGCTTTTTTTTTGAAATAAATTTAATTATTAGGAGTATGAAACAATTTTAAGCTAGTATTTAAAAAAATGCAGAGTCAGGTTTTTAAAAAAAATTTTTCCAGAAATGCATTCTTATTGCAAAAAAAAGATGAAGCTTTAGTTTTTGATAAACTGATCGATAAAGTCGAGGAATATGTTTTTATTTACTGACTAATCTCAAGGGAAATAAAATTTTATTCAGACAGAAAACAATAGAATATGGGGATTTCGGTAACTTTAGCCTATTCGGGAAAATGTAAAACCTCAGAGTGGTAATATAATAAACATATTATAGATAAGTGTATATAAAATATATAATATGCATTAAGTATACGGATTGTGTGTGTAAGTGATACCGATATGGCTTTAGAACGGATATCGAATATTCGTCCGTAGGACCACTCCTTTTTCCTGTGCTTCGAGTTGAAGTAGATAGGCAAATCTAATGTGCTTTCGGAACTGAACAAGATAAGGAACGTAGCGAGTACTACCCATAGTAGTAGCAAACGGTAGAGGTGCTTCGGCAAACCGTGAGAGTGGCGAATGGAGGTGACGCGAGTGGTTAGATATAGCTAGATGGTGACTTTTGGTATTCAGGTATTATTGGCCAGTGCCAACTGGCCAGATAAATGCGGTTGAATTCTCCCCTTCCTTTCGCCAACACCCATTTTCACGTGTGTGACAACATTCGACTCCAGAGGAAGAGAGTAGAGAGTTCAGTTGACTTAGTTTCGTGTAGTTTGCCATTTGGACTCTCTTTGTGCAATTGTGTGTTTTACATTGAAACTTGGTTTAATTCACGACAGTTTCTTCGTAGACTTACTATTAATAATAATAATCACCATCAAAATAGTTGTTAAAACGATAACAAAAATCATGATAACAATTGAAATTACGTCATTTGTTTTGTAATATTACTTATATTTAACAAAATATGACTATAAATAAACTATTTTATTTATTTATAAAATATTTGATTAATATTGTCCATTATTCATTAAATGAAATAAAATAACCTGTGTTATTGATCATTACATCAAAATATTTCATGTTGAATGTCAAAAAAATAGTTATATTCACATACCTTTACTATTATTATGATTATTTAGAAAAAATTTACAACATATGAAAAAAAGTTTTATTATCATATTGAGATATAAAAAATAACGAGAAAAGTATAAATGCAAAACTCCTTGAATGTATGAATAAAGTAGAATGAAGAAAAAAATTAATGTCAGCATAATCTCATTCTATAAACAAGAATATAAATGAAAATGGTAAATGAAAATTTCTCAGAGGATATGAAAAAAGGATTCGGTAAATTATTGATTGGATCGTCTTGATTTCATTTACTTTTATGAACTGCGGTGCTTTAGACAGACCCGTGCGGAACCACTAGAGCATGCAACGTAAATTGATACAAATAGGAGCATATATGTACTGTAGAGTTTTCCGGATTTTACTGCCAACTCATTTCATCTCTTCGCGTTGCTACCGCAGCACAGTTTTATCACTGTAACTTACAGTCGTGACATGGAATTGTTATTGTCACTGTTACTCTTCTTCCCCCTCTTCTTTCACTCTTTTACTTCTTGTCCATATAATGTCTGAGTCTTTTTTCATTGTGCTCTGAGTTGACCAGGCTATCACAAGCGAAAGAGGAAGAGCGCAAGTTATCTTGTTCTTTTTTTCAACTAAAAAGTTGGCCAAAAAGTTTGCAAAACAATAATGCCCTCAGTATTCTATTCTTATTCCCTTTCTTTTTCTATCTGCTCTCAACTTACTCTTCATCCATTTCAGAAACTGCAAAATTGTTCAATGTCGATGCAGTAACTTTACATTTATACGATCAACTCTTCAATGTTCTCTTCTAAAATTCTCCTTATTTCTGTGACAGTCTAATGACTGCTTAAAGACCCTTTTGTCGTACTTTCGGATAGAAAATTTTATACTTCCAAGCTCTAAAGAGATATAAGTGAATAAAACATTCATTTTTTCCTACCATTAATCAACTTCATCATCATATTCATGCTTTTTTGGGACTCTCCACTCGCTAATGAATTTATTTGATTTTTTTATCAACAGATAAATATCATAAAATTCATCTCAACAGAATCACGATATTATTAAAGTGTAAAATTTGATAAAGTCATTTTTAAATGGCGGTATGGTAAGTAGAGGAAAACATTTCTAGTGTCCTATCGACAATGGCACTGAGTGTTAGTTAGAGAAGCACAAAAAAAAAGTCAGAGGAAGAGCTAAGTTTGTCAGAGTAATTTGAGCTTTCGTTGCACTTGATTCCAGTCACGTTCTTTCGACGCTCTTGTCCTTACTCCTTATTATCCCATATCCTCGACGTCTGAACCAGCCTGCATACCTCCACCTTTCTTCGTGCAATTGAACAAAGGAATCGCGATGGAAGCTTTCTAATATGTTCTCAACGAATAATATTTCGCGTAATAATAATTGTCAGCTTATTGTCATTTCTACCTATCTTCGAGTTTACAATTATTATTAATTTTGCTCTAAACCATAAGATAACAATCAAATTTACCATTATTCCTACGCTGTTTCTCGTTATGTCAATTTTTATCGAGAATGCAATCAACTTATTTATAAGTCCAACTTTTTGAAGGATAGTTCAACGCATAAATCCCACTTTTTTATATTTATCTATGTACTGTTTTTTTTTTTTGATACATGTAATTGAAAAAAAAAAAAAAATTAATTCAATTTAGAATTTATTCATCAGTCATAAATCATCAACCATTCATTCATCAGAAAAAAGTGCCCCTCGAAAAGTTGATATAAAGTTTCACAAATGCTTGTAATGATAATTGTATTATTACACTGATAAGTATATAAAAAAAATAATTTCGAAAAAATGTCAACTAATTTAAATGAAATACAAATATTTGACCACTTGAGATTTATGATAATGATGAGTGTATGGTTGTCATTTTAAGTAAATTGTTATTCACCGCATTTAGAACCCTCAATCACATTGATTGACGTTAGTCATCCCCTGCGTTTGCCCTATACCACTTTTTCTCTCTCTCTCTCTCTCTCTCTATCCCGCTTCAATTCATCGACGCATGTATACGGGCCATTAAAGACGAGCATTTAAGCATACTCAACTCTTTGTAAAGGCTTTTTGAAATTATTTAAGTAATTGAAATTTTTTTTCCAATCAAATTTTTATTATTCAGATAATTAAAAATTCATAAAAAACAAACAAACAAAAGTAAAATGATATTGGATTCTTTTTTAATATTTACTGTTTTATCTTTGTCAATATCGCCGTCAATCCATCTATTGTTGAATTTATTATTTATTTCGATCTTTGAAATGAATGTTAAAGGAACAAAAGGAAAAAAAATAGAAATGCACATTTTTTATAAAAGAAAAACTAGAAAGCGCAACAGCACTCTCGACGCTTCGAAGTTGGTAATAAAAAATTTAGAGACTCGCCAAGACACCGTCTGCTACCTCACACTTCGAGACACGAAACAAACAAATGGATTATTTCTGGTGTTCTCACGAGGGAGGTCAGTAAAATGGGATTGCACAAATCTCAAATCTCATGCTTTTCGAAACTTTAGTTTCTCATACTTTTATCTATAACTTTAGACATTAAAAAAACATTTTTTCATGGCATTACTCTTAGAATAAAACAGTGTATTGGTTCTGTGAATTGTTAATATTCATCTGTATTTTTAAACAGTTCACGCATTTTAAACATTTATTTATTATCAATTAATAATTAAAACTACTTGTTATCAAATCATTTTCTACAGAAGATAATTTAAAAAAATACTACGTACTTTTACTAATCACTTAAATAAATAAAATATAAAGATTCAAATGAAATGTATCTTTAAAACTCACGATTGAAAGTTGCGAAAATTCCAATGAGACAGAGAATCACTAACCGCCTTCTTAAACACATTCCAACCCTTAAGGACTCGTAGACTTGATTCATTTTAATTTGTACGATTTTCATCCCTCGATGACAGGTGGATCTCGTAACGATTTCATGGATAATGTTTATTCCGCTCGGTGAACGAAGGAATGGAGTTAATAAGTCAAAGCTGTTGGCAAGCTAAAATTAACTAGTTCGTTAATTGATACGATGAATAGCCAATCTTCTCTGGTAAAGTTTAAACCGATTAATTGAAAATTAAGCCTAATTGATTATCGGTTGATTGTATTAAAGTCAAGATCCGTATTCGCTGTGGTAAATCCGAAACGTTTATCCACTTTTCGGATAAGCCAGAAGATCGAAGATTCCACTTCTTTCCTTATTTTTTCTTTTTTTCCAGTTTCCTCTTGAGAATAACCACAATCCTCTGATTTTATTCTCTTTTCTTCTTTTTTGACTCTGCTATTTCACTAGGATATCAGTGATTTTCTGGTCTTTGTCGTACAATACTTGCGTTTATTTTAAACTTTTTATTCAACATCAAACAAAAGTTTTAGAAAATTTCCATAGTATTTTTTTTTGTGATTAATTCATTAACAATAACATAAACTCATATTCAAAAATTTTTATCAAGCATAATTTGATTAGACACATTTGTAACTTTTAATTTGAGACTTTGAACGATGTCATTTAATTTATTTAAAATGTTTAATGTTTGAATATCTAGCATTCGTTGAGATCATTAAGAGTTGCTAAAACTTATTTGTAAACTAACTTGCAAAACTTATCACTCGTTAGTTTGTAATAAAATGAAGAGAAAATAAGTGATGCATAAAAAAAACAGCCATTATTGAATAACATGATAAAAATATGAAAGTTTAACTCATAAGCCGATTTGTTTTTGTGTACAAAAGATATCCGCTTAAATAGTTACAGTTAAAAGTACTGTTGATTTCTCTTTAATTAAAATAATAATAATTTAACACAAACAGCTGAAGAATTTTAGTAACATACGAATTCATTAAATAACTGTATTTAACATTAAATTATTTTAACAACGTATTTAGTCCGTCTCTTATTTTTGATAATTTATAGAAAAGTTCGATGCGATCCTTCGGCTAGAAGCTCACAGCGCACACTGAAACATCGGACATTTAAGCGCGGGAACACGTTTTTGCACCCCACTTTGGTAGACTTGGTATTGCGCACACTCCAAAGACAGAAAGCTCATCAGAAACTACATAGTAGGGGTAAAAGTTGAAAGTGAAACAGAATGAAAAATAGAGAAAACAACAGGAGAGAGCATACACAGTATAGGTACTTTCTGCACCCGGCTTGTGGCAAAAGTTATGACCGCAAAGGGGTCGTTAGTGAGCGGTCTCCAAATTAGTATAACGCGTTATCAACGCTGCGATTCTCAAGCTTAGTACCTAAGCAACAAGGTTAGATGTTTGTGGCATACTTTGCTCTTCTATCCCTCGAGTGTGCACACTTAAGTTTAGTTTCACCGCAAATAATGTTAAAATAGTCTAATCTCAGAAGCACTATTTCTATCGTAATTGTCGAGGAATATTCCATTCGTTATTGTATTGTTTCTTACTCTATTTATTCTCATTTCTTTACTTAATAATTTGTATTAATTTAATATATTTTAACATATTCTCAATTTCCATTAATAAAAAATATTATAAACATTTTTTTAAAGTTTATTTTCAAACACAAAAATAACAAATCAAGTTTTTTTACAATTGATTTTTCAGATGAAAAATTTTAAAAATATTTTTAATGATGAAAATACTTGAAAACTGGTTCGATAGATTATTATAAAAATATTATTTGACAAGAATTCTAACAATGGAGCAGCAGCAGTGAACTAAATCACTCTATTGTTACCTCAGTGTGTACATTTTTGTGATAAATCCTTGAATAAAAACTTTTAAAAAATTTCTTTACTATATTTATTATTAGAGAAAAAAAAATCGGACCCATTACAACAACTCCCAATAGGAAGTAAAAAATTATTACAAAAAAAATGAGATGTTTATTAATCCGTACAATAGCATAGAAATAAGTGACACTAGCAGCTGAATTTATTGCACTATCAATATGTGCAACACTCTTTGATCATTAAAGCACAAAAGTATACGATTGTCTATTTAATTTTAATTGTATTTTTTTCATCCTGCATATCAATGATTCCTTTTACATTCACTTACGTTTATTTGTCACTCTGTATATAAATTTTTCATGAAAAAACTCATTTAAATATTGATTTTTTTGAAATTGAAATTTTAGTTTATTAATTCTCAGACAAAAAAAATTTTATATTTAAAAGAAGGTATAGAATATTAATATAGTTTCGCTATGTTCCAATAAATTCTTGAATATTTATATTGAAAGTGCTAACTTTACTGAATTATAAAATACCAATATTTATCCTGATATTTCTAACATTTTTCAACCATTTCATTTCCGAAAGACTTATGTTTTTATAATCATAATAATAATCATACTATAAGCTTTTTCACAAAAAGCATGTTTTTATCAAAAGTTTAGTGCACCACATGAATATCTATATAATATTTTTTTTTTTTTAAAACAACTTCCAACCTTGAGGGGAAAAAACATAGATGCTAAACTAATAAAAAAAAATCCAAAACAAAAATATAAATAATGCTATCAATCGAATTTTTCCTTCATTATGTTATCCAGATACTAAAATTTGTAGGCAAAGCAGATTATTGTCTAAGTAAACAGAAAAACAGATAATTTGTCGTTGACTGCGTTAAATCCATGCGAAGGGCGTTTATATACTCTGAACCGTTTATTTGCACATATGGAGATTTGAGCATACGTATATATGGAGAGAATGAAGATGAGAGAGTCACCACGATACAAATTTGCATGTACATAAATCCTATTATTTATAACATTCGATATATTATGCTTGCCTAACGATAGCATGATGATCATAGAATAATAGAAAAAAATAATGAAAATCAATGATTGAAACATGGACAGAAAGAAAATGATTTTAATCTGTTTTCCAAGGTAATTCTAAACCATCATGACATTGGTGCATAGAATAAAGTCATTACACGATGCATATGCAAGGTTTTGAGCTCATATATTGCTAGCTCGGTTGCCCACACACTTGCCAACATTCGCCACAAATAGACTCGATGCTTGTAGCGGCTTATCCAGCCACAGTGTGTACATTCGTGGACGATTATTGTGACGATTGCATTTCGTATTATTATCCCACTTTAACGATGACTTCTCCCACTCTCTCCAATGGCTTTTCAACCCCTCATTGGATTCTCGCTCGAGGATATGTTTTCAGTATAAAACAGCTGCTTAATCGAAATTGCAAATGTCCACGGCCTAACACCATAATAAACGAATTAGTTTGTATTGATTATAATTAACTTGCATTATTAAATTATTATTTTCCCATTTTAGAAATTCAAATAGTTTAGATAAAATATTAACCTACTTTTAAATAAGTTTCGTTTATGATAAAGGTTTTTTTTATTGAGCAATAAAAAAAATTGGCATCGTAATTATTATGATACTCTTGAGGAAAATGATAGTTTAGGAGGACATAGTGTCATTTGTTTTCATAAACAGAAGTATCAAGTATTAACATCAGAAGGATCCAAACAGCTTCGGTTAACGGTCATAAGGACCAGTTAAAGTACATCGAGTGTCCAAGCATATACCAAACTTTTCACTTAGCTACCACTTCTCTACTCTCTCAACTCTACTTGTACAGTAGTTCGTTGAAGGATAAAGCGTCTTTCCTTGATCGTTGTGACAGCGATATCTCTATATATTTTGTTTTCAACTCAAATCTAATATATTTGCTCCATAGAAATATATGTAGATATTTTTTTTGTCATTGTGAAAAATAGATTGAAAAATTTACATAAAAAAAGATAACACAAAAATAAGATCAATAATTTTGATACTTTTAAAAATAAAAAAAATTTACGGTTGTAAAATATATATGTGAATTTCAATATTTCAATTTTTTTCTATTTATATTTATTGTATAAATAATAATATTCTCAAATAGATAAAATATTATGACTTTTTTAGTTATTATTTTGTTGTGCAGGATGTTTCATATCCTTTGGCAATACGCATATTATTGTGTCGTATGCTGGATATTCCTCCTTTTCACTTTATCCCCAATCCCGAGGACACAATTCAATTTTGCGAACGTGCGATTCACTATTCGCGAGGTTGATAACTAATGTATTGACGGATGTTGACATAATGTGTGTTCTCTCATATGTATAAATTTACTGAGTAAATACATATAAATATATTTATAAATATATATACATGTGCCTATAGATTGTTATTCTGAAGTCATTTCATTAAACATCTTAAATGAATCTTCTATTCAAGATATCGATAAATTATTGATAAATTCAAAATTCAAAAATATCCATATTCATTAGAATATTAAATACTAAATATTTACCTTAGCATAAATTTGAATATTATTAATATATTACATCGTGGCAAAACATATTATTACTACTAGTTTCACATGAACGTTACTCACGTGATAGTCTATAATGGACCACTTGGCAATCGTCTAGAATACGCACCCATGACTTTTCCAATTGAAGATCTCCAATAGTTCAGTCTATTTCACAATCGGGAGACCGTTGTTTGCGCGATTTTCCAACAAACGAGTTCGTCGGTCTGGCGTCGCTCCAAATGGTGAGAAAGTTCCGGACGACTTTTCCTGGTAACCTCGAAGGGTCAACCACCATCCGATAGAAGAGATACATTCATAGTCTAGAATTTTAAATCATTGTAGTCATTTTATATGTATCCAAGTACAAACTATTTAATATTTTAAATAATGGAAAATATAAATAAACATACTTACATAAATTTTAGTTGACAAAAGAGTTTCATCAAAAAATAAAATAACAACAAAATGATATTCAAATGAAACTTGATGAATTTAGTGAAATTGTAAAAATAATCTAATCAGTTAAATTAGACATGGTTTCTTGATTCAATTTACTATGTTCTTTGTTCTTACTTGTATGCAGGAATACAAAGGAACAACTAGTGCTTCAAGTATACATTGTAAAGTTGGTCGAGCTAGCAAACTTGCACGAGTGACTCAACAGAGAATTGAGTTTTGGATATGGAATAATTAATGTGGATTTGCGAGTAAAACGGACGTTATACATTAACACATTAGCTGGGGCTATGGCAGACTTGCTACCACCTCCTTTCCATCTCTCCAAACGTCTCCATTATATAGACCAAGCTTCAGCTGGTTCCGGTCATAACTCAAAATCCCTCAGGTGTGCAGGTATACGCGGTTAGTGGACACATTGGAATGTTAGGCTTGATCTTCTTGGTGTTATTAAGCTTTGTCAACTTTCATTCAAGTCACATATGGTAAAATAGCGATTGGTCAAGTGGATGGAGATTTGTCAAAGTCAACTTTTATTCATGTCATTATTCTCAGTCGTTCATTTTTATGTATCTCTTCAAGTCGTCTATTTTCATTTAATAGAAATGATTCCGTATAATCAATACTAAAATAGTCGTAACTTGAGTTTATTATGACAGACTTGGAAAAATATCTGAGGATAGTCACCCTCTCGAGTCACTGGCATACGTGACTAGAAAAGCCTTGTCGCTTGACATTATTGATTATGAGCAATTGCAAAAAACAACACATCAGAAAAAACGACATCAGTGGCTTGTTGGGTCAGCAATAAAATTAACCATCACATAAAATGTTTCTTATTTCAAAAAAAGATGCAACGAAATTAGAAAATGTTATTGAATGTAATTAGCAGAAAGTTTGTGATGTGGGTATTGATTTCTGTGATAATTTTGTTTTTAAATCAAAATTTCAAGAGTCTATTGTATGATATCGAAAATCACCTTTACTTTAATTAAAAGTCTTTACTATCAATGCTATCTTAAATCAAATTACTTAATTATAAGTTATAGAGTTAATTCAGTTGGCGTTATTCGACGAATCCCAAGATTATTGGTCTCAACGACTGGTGAAAAGAAACTTTTGAAATATTCTCCTCTGATAGAAAAGAGTAGGAAAAAAGATTATGAGCGAACACGACATTAAAGGATGGTGAAAGAAGATAGAAAAAAAAATTTGCACCAAAGTTAAAAAGTTTACGTTTTCCTTTTCCTTTTCATGAGTTTCTGGTTTCATTCGTTGCTTGAATCAATTCGAATCGCAGCTTCACCATCATTCTTTTCGTTTTTGGAAAAAAACTTTTGGCGATGGTCGTCTTCGGTATGTTTGATTCGTATAGCAAAGTGAGGTAAAAATTTGTAGTCGAGTTAGTAGATGACTTGACGCTCACCGAAATGTCTTGAAGGGACTGGAGCTTATGTTGGGTTAGCAAGAACGGGTTGTGCTGCAGAATGAGAAGGTGGGAGCTGATGCGAATTGAATCATGGGGGCGTTTTAGCGACGACGTGTACTGCATTCGAAATTCTAGACGGTCTCATACCTGCACAGCCCTTGACTTGCTAGAAAGCTACGTAGTATACCAAACCTCTAGCATCTTCTACTAGCTACACGGTATGCTGACTAAAATCTGCCACTGCTTGACTATATGTACCAACTTACCTGAAGGTCTCGGGCCCGACCATACGTATATTCTTCTCCTTCATACACATCACGGTATTCGCTTTTTACTCAAACCTTTCTTTACTTTCTTTCCTTCCTCGCTACCTCAGACAGCATCGATTTTTAATCTTGTTCAATGTTAACGGGAGACCGCCCTTTCAGAATTTGCTCGATTGAAAATTTATCTGATGTGTTTAGTATAACAAGTAGTGATCGCAGCATGTCACACGCCAACTTTTTCATCGCCATTCTGTACATAGTTGAAAAAAATCATGCTTTAAATTGAATTATGTTAACATCTCGAAGTACCTTATCATTCCCCTTCCAACTATACATAATAATGGTGTTTATTTAGGAAAATTTTGTGGAAATAAAATACCACTATATCATATTTCCCGCGAAAAGATTACTTTATTTATGAAAATTTCATTTATATCTCTGATTTTTAGGTATATAAACAACACCGTAAAATATTTCTATTTCAATCTGTCAACATACGTATAGCCTATTAATAAAATTGACTGTTTATTGATTTATTATATCCGCAATGGGAATTTATATTTTTTTTTATTGTTGACTTTTGTTGAAAATCAAGCGAAAATCCAACTCATTTATTTTATTTTTCAGGTGACTGAGACGCTAAATGTCTTCCGAAAATCCCGGGACACTACAACTTTTAAAGGCTATATTTTATGAAAACTTTAGATCAGAAATCTATTTTTGCTACAGTTTTAATTTCTGTTGAGTTTAAAGACTTCATCATTGTAATAATTCATCTGATATGTGAAAACGATAATTTATTTATCAATGAAATATATTATGCATGGTATGAATAATATTATATGCTCCTTTTTTTTATCTAAATTTTTTAGGAAATAATTTAATCATAACCAATATCTGTTCAACACAGAATCATGAGTGTTTTTTATTCGGCAGATGCTCATTATGCAATAAAATACATAATCTGAACAGATGATATATCTAGTAAAAGCAGTAAGAATCGATGTATATAATTAATATTTATTAATACAAATTGGTGTGATAAATTTAGTTTCATTTGTAAGGTGAAAATTTGTAAATTTTCATAGATACATTTCGGTACATTTCTTCAGTGTAAATCTAATTTGACTTATTAAATTTACCATCTGGCCTCGGGATATATTCGCACGCTCGTATAAGAGAGAAAACTAAAACTAGAGTATTCAGCTCCGGGTATTTTCTTCGACTGGATTTAACCCGCAAGGCATTTAGCTTCGTCAGTCGTAAAAACGCTTTTCCAGATCCCCGGGCAAGAAAGGGCTTTGGTCAGCTGAAGTCCGTCAGCCTTGCGAACTTTGACCGTCAGATGTGCTCCAACTTCAAGTAGAATTATATGATTTAAAGCAAATTGCAAAAAAAAATCATCCACTTAACTTCCTACGCTTTTAGATGTACATTCAAAAGTATTCAATACATCAACCATTTTTTATTGAGTAAGTATAGAGAAAAAATCTAGAGGAACGGAAGCAAATGAACAGTTAAATTAAATATTTAAAATCAATCAATTATTTAAATTGAAAAATATTTAATTTTATTATAATTAACAACAGTTGTTGAACTATCATTTGTTTATCATTGCTTTTCACTTCATTAAATGTAATCTTTGTAAGCATGGAAATTTTCGGAGCATTTAATTGTGATTAGAGTCTTGATGGATTGAAGGTTCTTATTTGCCCCTCCCGTAGACAAACAGACTCGTTGTCGTTAACACTATTGTTCTCACGGTTCTCTAAACGTTAAGAACATTTCTCGTGTATCCTACAAGGGAATGTTACTCAGTTGGGTAGATGCGTGTTGAAATAATACGATGCAAAGTAGATGAGAAGGTAGCTCCTGAAATTGGAAGTGAAGGAGAAGTAAGAGAGGAAGCTTTTCTGCCACTACTGGCGCCAATTTAATCAGCGATAAATTTCTTTGTTTTCTTCTTTATTCACGTCTAACATTATCCGCTTTTTTACTTGATTCTTTTTAACACCAAAAAGAGGTGAATAACTTTTTCCTGGATATAATTTACTGCATATTTTTAAGCTGCAGTTCATCAAGCACGGATTATTCACAAAAATAGTCAAGAAGTGTTGCAATTTATTATTCATACTTGTCACTTACTTTAAACCCACTTTTTGCATGTTTATTAATTCTGTAAAATTTTTTTTTGTTCCAATTATTCATCTATTTGTATTATTGCTTATAAATTTGTTTAACTTAAAATAAATTATAAATAGGATTGAGAAAAATTTTAAAAATGAATAATCATTTATATTTATGCTTATAATGTTGGAAATAAATAGACATTTATAATAGTTTAACTGAATAAGAGACTTATCTGAGAATAGCTACTCGAAGAATTTGACTCCTTTATAGCCGCTAGCAGTCTTTTCGATATTCTTATGAAAAATATTACTTTTTAATATGAATTTCAAAAATTTATTGATCCGTTATAAAAATATTCCATAATAATTTGAATAAAGTAATAATAAATTGGTCAATAGATAGAAATGATACAAGTTAATTTTATTGTTTTTTTTTAAATTACTTAATAAAATGCGCTTATATAATTTATTACATCTTTTGATCTATCAAGAAAAAATCATGAAAAAAAAAAAGAAATAATAAATTACCCAGCTGACTATTTCTTTCAAAGAATGCACGTGCCTGACATGCATTTTCTTTTGTTGTTCCCCAGAGAGAATGAGGCATTGTGAATTATCTCGTCAGGAATTCAACGCTCGTTCACGACTATTTCCCCAAATTCGATCTACCTTTGTTCGCGTACACCTTTGCACTTACTTAGGACAAAGTAAAAAAAAATATGCGTGTAAAGAAAGGAGTAAAAAAATAAATAAATAAACGAATAAAATGAAAAATCAGGAAAAAGTCGGTATACATGAGTTTAAGTAACTGTAAAAAAAGTTATATTTTACATGATACTTCATGATCTAATAGTTACTTAGATTTATATTTTTTAAATTGTAAAAATGATCATTATTCTTTAGAATACTCTTGAAAAATAATTTCACCAGTCTGCCTAATGACCTGTACGTTTCTAAGTTTAATGTGCTCCAAAAGATAATAATTATTTTAATAGTGAAAAATTATGTCTAAAAACTGTAACAAATGATCTACAGGTTTTTTTTTAAACCTAAAGACGTTTTAATTTTGATTTTCGGACCTTTTACAGCATCTCTTTATCCAGGGAAGATAAAAATGTGATGAGAAGTAAAGAAGTACGAGGTGGAATCTGGGATAACTTTTCTAACCAGGAGATGACAGTGTTGAAATATAAAAAAAAGATAGAGAAAATGAATTGAGGTGAAATGCCGACGATTGCATCCCCTTAGGAAAGAGGATAAAACAAGCGGGTGTTCACACTTTTCTCAAATCTCCACATCTCCTTTTGTTTCGAAGTAAGAACACTGAGAGCGAAAAGCTATACTTTTCATGGCCTCAATCATCTTAGTTTAAAGTTTTTTTTTACAAAAAAAATACTTGAAATAATAATAATATATAAGATAAATTAAAAGACTGAATATATCATAATATTAATTGATATATTTTAACTTCATCTTAAATTTTAATACTAGCAAAAATGATTAAATTTAATGTAAAAAAAAACGTTAATTATAAATATTTTAAATGAATATTTCTTTTATTTGGAAAAAATAGATTTATTTTCGCTAAATATACTAAGTACAGTAAAAGAGTGAAATTTCATTTATTAATTATGTTATATTAATATTTTTACAGGTTTACAATTGCATTAAATGGACGAAATGCAACTTTTATATAATCTAAATTCATGTATCATTCTTTAAAAATATTTAATAAATAACAAAATAACTTTATTGAGGAAAATATTTAATGATTGGTTAATTGAGGTCAGGAAGACCATCAAGGGTAAACATTGAAGCTGTTTGACTGTTCGGACTTTCACTATTTTGGGATGGAAAATTGAGATAATCTGGATCACAAAAGTTATTAGCCTATATAGAAAAAATTAAATAGGTTATCTTAGGTATGTATTTAATTATCAAAATTTATTTACTTGAAAGAAAAAGTTATCTGTGCCATTCTTATCCATATGTCTAGGTGCATCAGCTTCAAGGAAATCAGGAATTGTGATTGGCGTGGAGCTTGTGGAAGGGTTTAATTTGAAAAGGGATGGGACCTTCAATGAAAGGATCAAAAAATAACAATATTATTAGATAAGATAAATGATCTTGTTTGCATAAAAATTGTAAAATAACAATTATAGGATTTTATAATTAAAAAATTTACAATTAAATTTAATTATTTTTGAGTTAATAGATTAATTAAGTGTGTGTAGATTGATTGTATCGGTTGTATAAATAAAATATATCAGTCATTGTATACATAAGTTTCTGTCCATAAAGAATTTAAAGGAATAAGTTCATTTTCTACCTTAACTAAAACATCTTCTCTAAGTTCATCAAAACATTGAGGTTCATTTTTTTTGCCCATCATTTTGAAATCTATTTTTCCTGGTGGAGGTTCATACATTAATGAATCTCCAGAACGATATCCATTGACAGGTCTTAGATATTGATCATATCCACCAAATATTTTTATGTCATGAAATTGCGATGCAGCTTCGAACTCTTGGTACTTTGGTCCAAGGATTTTCATGTCTTCAAAACTTGGCAGAGTCAACTTGCTCTCGTTGTTAGCGTAAAGCTTTGATGTTTGGCCTTTATCATTCAAGACTTTGCCATCTACCCGGTTCATGGGCAAGAAACTGGAGTCACTGATGATGTCATCAAACTCGGGAAGTTTGATTTTGGGATCGTAGACATTGACCGAGTTACTGTCTTCCATGCAAATTCCATCTACGCCAAGAATATTAAAATCATCAATGAAACTACGAGTACTTTTTAAGTAGGACAATGTCTCATTTAAAAAGGATAAAGATGATTCATTTTTAGTTAGTAGAGGTAGTATTGAAGATTGAGAATTGTTTGAAAGACTCCCCATGTCATTTTGATGGTCCATGATATTTAAGAAATTTTGATGAGGACCAATAACTATAATAAAAAGAAGATATTTATTATTTAATTAATATTTGTATGAAAAATAATAAAAGAAATTTTTAATATACCATAAAATCATCCAAAAAAATAACTTATGATTAAAAAATATTTAACTAAAATTCAGCTTACTAGATATTTTAAAAATAGTTTCTTACTTTATTAAAAGAATGACAAAAATATTCAAATATTTGTATCAAAAAAGGAAGTTTGATGTGAAGAATGCAATATATACAAATATTTGCTACTTACTATCTTCTTCAGGAGTTACAATAGGAATCCCTGAGTCTAATCCAATTGGTTTTATTCCTCCAAGGATGTCATCCATTTTTGATGAAGAGAAAAAGGTCATATTATCCACAAAACGATCATCTAGATTCTTTGCATCAAGAATTCTAATATCCTTATCTCCGGGAATTTCAATTCCCTCAGTTGAAACTGGTTTTTGGTTTCCACTTTCCAATATCATAATCTGATTATCATTATCAGTGACAATTACATTGTCATTTATATTATTCTTTGCATTCATAATATTGATTGCATCTGCTTCAGCACCCTCAAGAATGGTAACATCATGTGAATTTTGTGCTATTAAATCTCGTGCTTCACTATTGCTCATCACTTCATAACGACCATCCTCAGTCGCTCGAACGAATTGAATACCTCCTTGTGCTGCTAGCTCTAACAACTCGTTGCAATCATCCATTGAACTATTATGACTTGGTTCACTAGGGTGTTCAGACTCCCCCAAAGAATCCATATTATAAAATTGAGAATTTTCTAATGGTGTCAATAAATTTTCTATTATAAGAGAAAATAAATTTTTTAATTTAATCAAAAAAATAATTTTAGAAATTTCCATTTAATCCATCAAGTAAATTGACAGATTAAAGATTATAAGCTTACCCTGATCTTGATCAGAAATAGGTGGTTCAATTAAATAACTAGATTTTCCATCACTATTAATATTTTGTACTATCGTTGCAACTACTGAAACTTTCACTTGCACAGTTCTATTCTCTGTTTCTGAATTAAATGGACTCATTTTTCCGGTTACACGTAAATCTTCAGCGCTCGCTGGTATCAGCATCTGTTAATAAATTTTCAATAAAATATTTTTAACTCTCCAAGAGCAATAATAAATAAACAAGATAAACGAGTATAAAGAAAAAGTCACATGTTGATTTGGTCCAGCAGGAGTAACTTTCACAAGAACAGGAATACCTTTTGCTGGCTTTAATAATGCAAAAGGTGTTTGACCATTCATAATTGCACTTTCCATGGCTTTTGTTTCAATTTTATCTATTAAAATACTTGTCATGCAGGAATTGACATCCTTATTATCATCAATATTTTTATTACTATTTGATTCAATAATTTTAATATTCTTATCATTATTTATTGGTGAATTCGACATGCTTGCTTGAGATGATGATGAGTTACGATATTTTATACCATGTTTAAATTCTTCATGTGAACGCAGTGAAAATCGTCGTGGAAACTCTTTACCACATATTCCACATGAGTATTGCATTTTTTCTACGTGAGCGTGAGCCTTCACCTTATGACACACGAGGTTAGACATTTGATTGAAGCCTTTATTGCACAATTCACACTTGTATGGGCGTTCATTGGTGTGAGTAAAGACGTGATTTCTTAAGTTACCTATGATAAATAAAATTATAAAAAATTATATTTTTCTTTTATTCAGATTCATAAACTTCAAGAGAAAACGAAAATAAAAATAGTAACCTTTCTGATGGAATCCTTTCCCACAGAGATGACATTTGTGAGGTTTATTTTCTGAATGAGTTTTCCTATGCGATATCAAAGTAGAAACTCTAAAAAAAATCTTCAATATAAGCTCAACAGTTTACAGTATATACATATCTAGCCATAAATATTTTTTTTTGTACAGACCTGTTGAAAGTTTTCTTACAGAATTCACACACGTAAGGTCTAGCATCACTATGGATTGCTTTGTGCTGACTAAGAGTTGAAAGCTGACGAAAAGCTTTACCACAAACATCGCACTTAAAATTTCTCTCATCAGTGTGAGTAGGTAAGTGCCTCATCAGTGTATATTGATGTCTAAATTCTTTTGAACCTAGCATTAACGTGGAAAAAAAAGTACTTATTCAACATCTAGGTTTAGTTGTAAATAAATATTACATTAAATGAAAGTTGTGACATTAATTAGCATTTCAATAATGATGGTTTATTATTTTAGCAAGGTAAAATGATAACTGTTGAATTATTCTTTATTATATTCAATGATAAATTACTTACAGATACCACATTCCCATATTTTTAAAGTTTTCCCATCACGTTTAAGGTATTTGACAAAATGAAGTCTCGACCGTGGATCATCCTTATCAATAAGTCGAGGGGTTGATGTTAAAATAGGATCATTTGTTAGAGATTGACTGACCGTATCATTTTGTTGATTAATAATTATATCTGGTACCTAAATATTATATTTTAGAATAGTGTATTATTTGGATACCTTAAAATGATATATTACCTTTTTTGGAGTCAATATAGGTAAGTCAATATTTTTTTCAAATAATTTCATATTATTTCCATCTATATTAACGGCATCAATATCGATTGCATTTAAACTTATGACGCCAGCCTTTTTGGTAATGATTAATTGATAATCACATGAAATGTTATTATTGATAAGAATTTATTTTCTCAACAAAATAAAATACCTGAACATTGGGTTGATTTGTTTCACTAGAATCGCCAGACGTAACGGAGACTTGACTACTTCCATCTTGAGCTGCACACTCTTCTTTCACGTAAACCTCGTAAATACTACATGACCAAAGGCAATTTAAATTTCTTATTCAAGATCCATGATGTGGAATTCGTATTTTTTTTTTATTTTACCTGATTACTTCGTCTGGAATAGATCGAGAAAGTATCTGACTATCTTCAAATTGATTCTCCCCTATAAATGACAATGTTGAATTGAAAAAATAAAAATAAATAAATAATATTGTACACCATTTTTTAATAATAAATTATTTTAACTTTTTATATATTACCTTAAAAAAAAAGTATCACACTGATTCAATAAAAAATACATCATCATTTAAATAATAAATAATATAATATAATTAATTAAACTCGTTAATTCTATTTGATGGCTGTTGATTAAATAATAATTTCCAAGGGAATACAGAATGTCAAGAGAATTGAAAAATTATACACACTACAGGCTACAGTAAATGGAATATACATTTAAGTGTTCAAAACTATTTGCACATTTTTCAAACAAACCAGTGGTGGATTATTCAGCTCTCGGATTTTTTTATTCGAGTCAAGTAAATAAACGAAAACCGCCATTAACAGAGTTCATTTTGTAATAGACTAACAGAACTGACAGATTAACTAATATTTTTCTCGGGTTATAAACGTTTTTTATAAGAAAAGTGTGTAGGAAAAAGATTTAGGAGTGTCGGTAAAAGGAAAGAAAGGATATATGATAAAACTTACAATTGTAGCCTTGTAGAAAATTGTTTTGAGACATTTTTTCTTGAATGGGAGCCGTCTTTCTCGACTAACGTCAATCTCTCGTTGCACTTCATTCGCATCAACATATATATACATGTGTGAATCTGTTACTGAGATGGCGCTGATTAAATTTAAGAAGAACGATCATGTTGACTTTTAACTGCTAAGGTCATTAGAATGATAAAATCGTTTTTTCATATTAAATTAATATCATATATCAAAACTAACTGTTTTAAAGATATTTAATAAATATAAATCGGTTTGTTTTTCTTTAATGTATAAAAGAAGAAATTTATATGATCCATAAAAATTGTTTTATAAGCGGAAGATAATTTAAATTCACTGATCGCGAATTTTCGATTAAACAAATACCCCACTTAACTTCCTGTTTCAAGATGGCACCAACTCTGGTCCGGAAATTATAAGTGTGATACGTCATTTTTATTCTAAGGTAAAATTACATTAAGTGTATACAAAGAAATACTTAAAAAATGTGATAAAAGTTATTAAAATTATAATAAGGATAATTTTTTTTAGTTGACTAGTGAACTTGTGCTGATTAAAATAAAAGAAGTTTAGGTGTATCAAAAACAAAGTGTAATAAAAATTCTGATATTTATAAAATAGCAAATAATCGGACCAAACTCGTGTTTCTTAACTCTTTATACGGATTGGTGAGTCAATTCTTGCGTGCTCTTGGTGCTCATATTCCCAGAAAGTTAAAACCGCTTTCGAATTCTAACAGCAACCGTAGACTTTACCTGTCCAATGTTACCTCACAAACATTCTGAAAATTGAACCAAAAGCCACAATCTCGTTTTTTTCTTCTTTTCTTTTCTTTTGATTCAATGATTACTTTCTACTACTTTTTGATATTTAAGTTGTTCGACTTTTTATTACCTCTCTTGTTGCAATAAAATCACTGGAAAATTTTTAATAGATAGGAAAAGCACAATTTAATTCGAGTATAAATTTTTATATTCTTTACAATTTTTTCCATCAAACTTATACGTATATATTTACAAAAGAATTTCTATTAAAAAATATATATGAATATTTTCTTATTTATAAATTTAATAAGACATGATTGGATTTTTATTACATTTGTAAACGGTAAATTCATAAAGTAAAGAATTTATTCTTAATTATTCAATAAAAGTCCTTGTGATTAATTTTGACTTTTAACATAAAGCTTTTTATAATACAGTTTTCATCTTTACCTCATCGTCCTTTTTTTCATTCGACAAGAATTTTCCTTAATCTTCTTTTCTTTGTAAAAACTTCTTTTTAATGCTGAATAACAGAATTACCTGAATAAAACAGGGAAAAGAATTGTAATTTACAGCATAATTATACTCTCAAATGAGTATCTTCCAAGTATAAACAATTTTTTACATATAAAAAATATGATTAAATTTAATAATTGATATGACAGAGGTGGCATAACAAAAAATATAACCAATCAGTATTATCAATAATTTTTATTTAGACAGAACAAAAGTGAACTTAATAAAGACATCATGGCACGTCATAAACTTGATTTTCTAAGACCAAGTCTGCTCGTAGAGTCTCACAAAGTCTTTTCGTAGAGACTCTCTCTTAACTTTGTCCAACTGTCCAACTATCCAAGAGTCCACTCTCAACTTATACTCTTCTCGTCAGTTTTACCTCCATTTCGAATAATATCATTTTCCTAGTTAGAGTAGTAAAGTTTCTTTTTTTTGTTTTGCAGGAGTGACGATATTTTTTATCATAGCAAAACGATCTGACCTGGATAGAATAGTTAACTAGTGAATTTTTGAGTTGAAGGAGAGGTAAAAGAAGAAAATACTCGGCATTTCAAGGTTTCACGAGTACTAGAAGCCCCATTAAGAAAATGAAATTTGCAATTCAAATTTGTGGAAGCGTTTTTCCGCATTTCGATCGTCGTTTACCTTATACAGTTGTTCCGTACGTTTCAATGGCGATCAAAAGAAAAGCATGATAAAAAAACAAATTTGGCGGGAACACATCAGTGTTTTAAAAGATACACCCTGAGGTAAATATTTTACTATAATCTTGCTCTCAACTTGATCAAAATTAATTTCTCAATATTAAATGATATAAGAAACACCCACGATAGAAGTTGATTATTTTCTTGTTTTTTTTTTTTTTTAAATTCAGTAAGTTATAAAATAATCAAGACCACTGAATAAATAAATAATTTTACCTGATTTAAAAAAAAAAAAAGAAAATTACCATAAGAAATTTGATGAATGTTAGCTGCTACATAAATTTGCTATGATTAGCGTTTCATAGTCATAAACTTACATTATTTGCTTGAACATCTACTTGGTTTGCATCAGTAGGCCATGGTAACAAGTTATCGTTATCTTTATCTCAAAAACTTGAACGGCATAAAGACTTGAACTTTTCTTCCTCTGAGTTGCCATTGTTGTAAGGATTATCTAAGTTAGAAATAACAAGTCAGTTTTAATTCCCACTAGCTATTATATGATAGCAGTTTAACAATTGAGATAAAAAAGATGAGACTTAAAAAAGATCCAATTTTGATGTCAGCTATTTATTATTCTCACTATGAAAATATTTCTTACCATATTTTACAAAATAAGGATAGTTTTTACTTGTATTTCTTTCATCAGCATCAAATACGTCAAGATGTTATTTTCGTTTTATTTTCTAAAACGTGATAGTTATAAATTAGAGAAGAGGCAATCTTGTTGGTTTCTCTATTTTCTCACTTTTCGTCCTCTTTCATTTCGTTGTTCCACTTTTGGTCTATCGTTACAGCAGCCGGTAGATCGTGTCTGTGCCGAGTCTGTCGAGGGGTTTAAAAGTACTATTGCCATAAAAAAAGTCTAACATACCAGCCAGATTATCCCCAGAATGTATGTGTTCTACCCTAAGATGATATCTTGGGAGAAAAAAGTATTCAATCTCTCGTAATGGCGTATTTAAGATCCTTTGGCTGATTTTATTGTAATTGATTAATTAAACATTTTAATTCAGTACTTTTTGATACGTTTCTAATGACTTTTTTCACGTAATACAATTTAAATATTTTCTAAAATTGAAAAATTCCCTTTTTTGAAAGTCTTATTGACATATTCAAGTTTATTTCTTTAGCAATGAAATTGGATTAAAAATGTCAATTGAACAGGTCTGAGGCTTTTTTAATATTTCTGATAATTCCAGTCAATATTCTCTTCTATATATTTTTGCGATCTATCACATGCTTCTTGATATCTGCTACATACCGGCAACTGTAACAAACCACCCGGTGCACGCTTACGAACCGTCAATTTTATTCAAAATCAGAACATTCACTTTTTCATTGCAAAAATTAGAATAAGTTTTTTCTTTACTTGTTAATAATATTTAAGTTTTAATAGTAAATTGAATCAAATTAAATATGTTACACAGAGCATGGATGTAAACTAAAAGATAAAGAATGAGATCTGTCAAGAAAAAACTTCTGATAGGAAATAGTCGATTCAAAGAACATTTAGATGGTCACTATGGTCACGCCTCAATCTAGTTAACGACTTCACTAGCCCAATGAACTTCTAGATAGCTGATCAACTCGGTGGTTCATGTGATTCTACTTTGTTTTCTATGAAAAAAGCAAAAAAACGAAAAGACGATTATTTACTTAGTCTAGGAAATAGGATCAACCCTTTTGCGATTTTGTAGAAAGCATTGTATGTTTTTTTGCTCAAAAAAATCTGTCAGTTGAAAATATAACGAGAGCTTTTAATGGTACATCTGAAGAAAAAAGGAAAATTTACATCGTAAGTAACGATTAAATTTTTTGAAGCAAATCAATATGAGAATGAATTTCAATCAATCCTATAAGATTCTTAGTCATCCACACCTCGTTTATTTTCAGAATATTCAACGTCACTTTATCCTTCGAGTATTGTTAAACTAAAGAATGTAAAGGAGAATTGATGGCACTTGCAATCGGATAGGCAAAGACAGAAGACAAGCTTTTAGATGTAAGTAAAAAAAGCAACAAATGAAAAGACAAGTCTGGTGAATATCATCCATTGCTTCCTCTAGACAGCTGAAGTTGAAGATGTATCATAGCAAAATGGATTTTTCAATTGGATTAGTGTTGAACAAAGAAAAATCATTCCATCTTTCTACATTAATTTTAATAAAATGATTGAATGTGTTGAAGATTATCATCATACATTCGAGGTCAATATTGAAATGGATTTGTTAACAAGACCATATAAAAATCCGACATATACGTAATTCATGATTCCATACGTCATTCACTATACGATAGAAAGAAAGTTTGATAATATAAAAAATTTAGAAAAAATTTTCATCAAAAATATTGCAAGCATCAGTATTTTTTCTCATCTTTTTTCCACGTGTCTTTTCAAGTGATTGAATTTCAAGCAAAATCGATCAAGTCGTTTTTAGATACTCCAAGATGTATTGAAGAAAAGGCTTTTAAACCAAATTTTTCCAACAATTCTCCACATATTTTTTATGGTATACTTACTCATAATTATTTAAAAATTATAATATATAAACTTTTTAATTAACTGTCTCAATTTCTTAATTTATTGTATTCATAAACTTTTTCTGAATCTCAGAATCGATAAATTTTAACAATTTACTCATGACCACTCATACAATAAAAAAAAATAAAATGAGTCTAATGTTAAAGTACCGCCGAATTAGATGTTAGATAAAGCCTTTGGTGCTAATGACTGGAAACTTCCGAAACTCCAATTACAGCAGGCGACGCTAAGACTGTCGTACTATCTCTAAGATTTCAAAGGAGTAAGAAAGAAAGAAATAGTAAGATAGTGAAGGTTTACAGGGAGCTGCAGAGATTGAAAAGTCTTGGTAGAAACTACTTAAGTGTAATTAGAAAAAAGGATAATTGTCTGGATACAACAAAGAACTAGAGTTCAACAGTTATATCAGTAAATAAAAAAAAGTCTATCAACAAAATTAGTATTAACATGAGTGGTTTCAACACAAGATATGTAACTTTAATGAATTCATTTTAATTGAACGTAAATACAATCGAG